CAAGAATATGATAAGACATGTATATATATATATATATATATATATATATATATATATATATATATATACTTTTGAGGTTTTACGGCATTCAAATAGAATCGTTTTTTGTTGTCTCATGCTTTAATGGCAACTAGGTTCAAATTAAATGAAACAAACAGATAATCGATCGTAAGTGTTGGCGATAGAGGAGGTACGGGAAGTGTTATAAAACATTAGATTAGATTGCAGGGTGGTAGCATCACAATGGCAACAAAGTTGATTGAGTATTTGGAATGAAAGGAAAGTTCAGTTCAGTTCAGCTTTTATAATCATTAACCATATAATTTCCTGCACCGGTTTTGGTTGTTGTCTTTTGGCTGCCCATTTGGATAAAAGAGCACAGGAAAGAATGGAATGTTGTGAGCAGATAGAGACTTGACCTGGACTAAGGTGGCGAAGATAAAAAGCAGATGCACGATCGCCACTGTTTGGTTAGGGTTTTCATACCCTCATGTCAGGTCTTAGTTTGACCGCCCTAGATATTTTCCCATCTGCTGCCTGCCTCGGGAAACATCGCTCGTTGTGGAAACCTATTTGGTGATATGCGCAATACATGTCGCAACCACCTTAGTCTATGGAGGTCAACCAATGGCTCCAGTGGACGACCGCGATCACCTAAAACGGTGCGTTTAACCTCAGCATTGCTTGTCCGGTTGCCCCACCAGACTGGTGCAACGCTGCGTAGACAGCGGTGTTCAGACACGGACAATCTATTTTCATTCTGTCTCTGCACCGTAAATCATAACTGGTCATACTGATGCAGCATACACTCAAAAGGAAAAAGTTGGCAGATAGCACCGAACGTTGTGGAATACCGGAGTTTATTGGGATTGAACTGAAAAAGATACCGTCAATGCAAAGCGAAATTTAACGGTAAACGAGGAGAATTTGTGTCTCTAATTGACGAAGCGCGGGAAGATTCCAAACTTGGAGAGTTTTGCTAGGAACCCGTCATATCTAATCTGCTTAAGTGCCCTGGAGATGTTGAGGATGTCCAGATGCAACTCAGTGGTAGAAAATGATGAAAGGCCAAATGTGTGATTTGGACCCGAACAGTTCGCCTGTGGATCTGTCGTAGTAGAAGCCATATTAGTGGTCATTGAGATCCAAGTGATAATTACGTTGCTTTTCAATCACCAGTCCTTTGGCATTCGGGTAGGGCGAAGCAATAAAACAGCGATACTTGTTTTGAATCGCAGGGGTTACCTCTCTTAGGGATAAGGAAGATGCGAACAGTTTTCTTAGGGCCGGGAAATACTCCATTGAAGGTGAATGTAAAAAGATAGCAACGAAAACGGGCGCACGAAAGTGCATGGTCAGTGGTTGTGAAAACTGAAGCTGAATATAAGAAGGAAAGGGACGATATGGTAGGTTCAGGCGCTAAAGTCTTAAGCACGATGGATGGGTTTTGAGCTGGGCTGGATGGCTTGGATATGGTTAAAAAGTACGAGGCTCGGGCGATTGAGCACCCCAGTTGTTCTCTCTCTATTTATGTCGCGTTGCATTTGATTCATCCGAGTTGGTCGTGTTACATGCATCCGGTTTGGGCAGCGTATTGGTTGTCTTTGATGGATGTATGGCGTACTTCACAACCGGCTTTTCGCATGTCTTTTTTCGCCCACATCCAGTGGCTAGAATTAAGTTATCTTTCGGGATGATAACATCGTCACCAGCTGAACTGACATCCTCACTGTTTCCGCTTGACTGTCGAGGTCTTTCCGTTCCGTTGATATTCTAACGAATTCATTATTGTTATGAATTCGACTTCAAAGTTACTATTTGTGAAGTTTCACTTTCGCGCCTTGTCCACAAGTATGAGAGGATGAAATGAGTTAAGAATCTGACTTCACATTGATACATCACAGACACGGCATCTTTGATGAATTGCCTATCATCCCTCTCTGTCCAACTGCTTGTTTCGTAATTACGTCAGCGATGAGTGAATATGACAAACTGAATCCTCTTAAACGCTTAGTAAAAGAAGATTGTTCGACGGAGTCTTCAGCGTTTTCTCGATAAATAGAAGGTGGCTTCTGATCTTTGTTCACAACGTTACTAATACTCACTGGTTTGCCTCCATTTGATATGCCACAATTGTAGTAAGATCAGAATTCTGAATTTTGAAATGGGTGGATGAGGGAGGCGCACGGTCAATTATTGCACGAATCAAACCGTCCGATCACTGCCTCTCTTCTGTTTCTGTAAATAGATCTAGATGATTCAATCAAATTCACCAAATGGTTGACCTCAACTTCTTGGGTTTCCGCCGCCCCAAGATCCACGTTCGTGTGACGCATTCTGTTTCTGTGTAGTATTCGCTTGTTTTATTCGAGATATCACAATCTGAATTGAGGTTAGACGAATCATGTGACCCAATGCTGATACCAGTGGTCGATCGGCCTATGCTTTCTGCTTGTCATGTAGTTTCTTGTTTGCACACCACCATCGCCCAGCCTCATGGCTTATTCTTCAGACGCCTATCTCCTCCGGAATATTGATTGTAAATCTATTTTATATCATGAATGAATGAAAGTTCAAATTAGAACGAAGTGGTTTAATCGACTGTTTACAATTTCCGTGTTGATGCGTTTTTTGGGTACCGAATTAATTGATTCAGTGGAGCTCTATTTGCCGTTCTATTCTGTCCAAAGGGGCTGGGGTATTCGAGCTTTGCATGCGATTCCAAAGGGCACCTTTCTGTGCACTTACGCCGGTGCTATTTACGATGAAAGTACGGCTGTCCAGGTGAGTGTATTCCGTGAATATCTTTGATTTCTTTTTCTGATCTTTGCATCACAGTGTCAATTACTTTCATCAGATTGCTCATTTGAGTTCCAGGACAATTTGATTTAAGCTAAAAACGCCACTGATGATGAATGGCCTTCTGATCACAGCTGGATGAGGCAATGCGACCAACTTAGAATACGTATTTTGTCGTAACCGTGGTAGTTATACAATCCAGGTAACTGATTTAAATCTATTTAATCCTACCCAACCCAAGCGAGAAAACGCGAACTCAACTGACAGCACACTATGGAACTACGTTATACCGTTGAGATCGGCCTTCATGGTTACAGTCTTTCATTCTTTCGCTTATCCGCAAAATTTTCGCTCTTTTGTGGTATTTTTCCGTCAGATTAAAGTTATATTATTCATTTGTTCTGTCCTTGTGCTATCTGCATTTAAACTTGGTTACCCACCAAATCATCCGTTCGATTCCACTGCTTATTCCTATTTCAGCAAGGTTTCGATTACGGGGATGAGTATCAAGCAGAATTGGACTACATTGAGACGGTTGAGAAACCGAAGGATGGCTATGAGTCAATGCCGGAAGATCCAGATGAGAATAACGATTCCTCAATGCATGATAAACCAGATCCACAGTTAAAAAAATCCCAATCCACTCCTGCATTTTCGAACCTGTGTGATAATACAGGACCAACATCAAAACCATTAAGTCGACCAAGTAGTGCACAAGCCTTGGATGAAATGGACACAGAAAGTCGAGCAGACGCGTGCAGCGATTCCTCCTCTCTATCAGACTCGATTCCTATTGATTGTAGTGATGGTGATAGGACTCCCGCGGCTGTCACAGATCTTATCAACACAAATGACGATTCTGACTGTCGGATTGTCAAAGTTAACAAAGATAGTTTGTCCTCCACATCCAGTGCCTCCAACTCCACAGACGCTAGCGAACTGCGAGTGCTCCCCGAACAACTTGCGTCACCACGCCCGAGGGTTGCTGAAATGGTACCGTTTCGCCAATTCCCGCTGAGGTTTCTGTCGGGAGCCCAAAATCGCATCCTGCCGATTCTCCCGAAGTTCGACGTGCAGGGGATCACCCGGACAGTATATCTGATAGTTCGATGCAAAATATAATTACCGAGGGGGAACTCGTCATAGACACGTCGGACACTGATGTAGACGAAAACCGATCCCTAGTGGATCCAACCTCTCCAATCCCCGTATCGTCTACCGAGAGTCCCCCGATAGATTTGCCAGTCTCGTCTATGGCTGAAATGACATGTCTTCCTGCCTCAACAATGAAAGAGGCATCAACGAACTTAAAAATCTTGGACCCCTCCTCTGAATCGAATGGGCCTCTCCCAGTTGCCACTACCGCGTCGACTGATTCACAAGACGTCCCGGACACGGAGCTGTCACAGAGGTGCACAGATAGTGATGCGATTGATAAGCCACAGTTGTCTTTTGTAGTGGAGAAACCGGTAAAATCAGGTGATTCATCTGATGCGGTTAAACTGAACTCCGACCAAACGGATGATACGAAAAAGGAGGAAGGCAGCGTATCATTGAAACAGCCCGATAAAGTTGGCAAATCCGATAAAACGGAATCAGACGCGGAGTCCAATCCGGAGGAAGAGAATCGATCTCAGAAACTACAACCCAGGCCTAAGCGCACTTGTGTAAAAGCGCGTTCCAAAAGCGTCCCAAGGGAATTCTGGTCGTTGTACAATGCGCGTCATTTGTTAGATATGGTCGATTTTGACCGTGTTCCGGTTGTGCAACTCATCCCACTCAGTCGTGAGTTTCACAAATGCACGTAGTGTTTGTTGTCTTCTAGTCGTGAAACTTTGACCCACCTTATCGGTCAACCTAACTACTAGCACATTCTTCTTCGAACACATTCATGCAGTAACGTTCTTAGGACTGAGCGTAGCTAGATGATTCAACTTGTGGAATTGTAGATAAGTAGAAAACCCAGTAAATAACACGGTTTGTCAGTGGACAAAGTTGGGAATAATACTGCAGAAAAAATCCTATGATGGCTAATTCTTTTGAATATCCTGTGTTTGTAATGGGACCTGATCTTAGTTTTTTTCTGATACCGCCGTAATTCTGTGTCTCAAAAGTAAAGTTCATTGGTAATTTCACCTCTGTTTGAGCTAAGAATCATCCTATTCGTGCTTTCGTCCTTCGGACCTACTCAATCGTGTTTTTCACTGGTTTGAGCTTTGTGAATTCATTGTCTACTTTCGCGTGTCCATGTTTACCCAGCGGAATCTTATGACCTTCCTCAATCGAAATCACACTCCAAGTCAACTGGCTCTAACGAAATCGACCTCTCTGCGCCGAAAAATTCCCGTTACAATAACACCGAACGTTCTGCTGCTCGGTAAGTCCTTGTTTACCTATCTGCATCTCTTTGCTGGACGAATAGATTGCCTAGTCAAGTTACGGAGAGGGGTTTGGTGGCGACTGAAAATAGTTGAGTATTTTGTTAATTAAAGACTGAAGTGAACGCTAAAGTTTTATTGCAGAAAATAAATTAAAGCTGCTATTTTTTGTCTTGTATGGTATTTTTTTGGTACATTGGTTGAATGGACCAAAGAAAGTGCGGTCAACTGTATGCTGGTAACAGTCTTTCGAGGAAATTACTCAACTTCGGTCAGATACTTTCCGCATAGGAACGTTGAAATGATAGCGAAGAGAAAAAAGACAATGCTCAGGGTTTAAACAAATCAGCTCGTATCGTATCTGTTTTCAGTTATCAAGGGCAAAGTGTGAAGTGGTTCCGTTGTACATGCATTTGTATTTGTATTTCACGCATATCTGATCACTGCTGTGCTTATTACTCTTAGAGAGACTCCCAGATTTTTAAACCAATTGTTTGAGGAAGCACGTTCAAGACAATTCAATAAATATGATCGAACGCGTGTGGATCAGTGTTCTGTTCTCGCCCTGTTCTGTTCTGTTCTCGATTTTATTCTTTTATTTAGAGTTTTATCTCCAGTGTGTATTTTTAGAGATTCGCAGCCACGTAGGAACATCGTTACCACCGGCTAGAAAACAAGCATGGTGCCAACGCAACAACAGTAACAGTGAAAGGGGATAGGTGGATTAAGATACAGAACATAGTGAAAAGTGGGTGAAACAGTTAAACATGGAAAATACAAGATAACAGAATTTTTTGTGTGTTTCACCGTACACCTTTGGCAATTTTTTTGTGTTGTTTGATGTTTCGTTTTTTCTTAAGGGCCACGGGATTTCGACAGACAGACCGTACAGAATTCGCGCCACTGACTTCTATTCTGCGCCATATCTCTCAGCGTCTCTAACCAGCGACAATTAACCTGGAAGGCGGGCTGCACCAACCGAAGCCAGAGCTGAAAACAGCTTCTTCATACCTCTAGCCCATGTTTGACCGCCGCGGCGCTTCTTCCAGCTTCGCCTGGCACGTGCGAAGAGAGCACGGAAAGATAGTCGATGGGCAGGCATACGCAATACGTGACCAAGCCAAAGGAGGCGATGTAGAGCGATTACTTCTGTTAGAGGACGACTATCCGCACCCAACACACGACGACGGACGTCGTCATTGCTCACCCGGTGTTCCCACCAGGCACGAGCAATGCTTCGGAGACATCGGTGGTCAAATACAGAAA